CATCCCACTTTGCAGAGAAAATAGACGCCCTCTCATCCTTGTAATACCGACTGCCTCCAGCTACACCACTCCCACCTTCTTCCCTCTGACTCCCTCCTGCCGGGGGTCATCCTCCACTACGCTTTGGCTCTACCACCACCATGTTCTGGGTAACTAATCATTTTCTCCTCTTTTTAGTATATTCACTTTCTCCCTCTATCAACTGGCTTCTCCCTGTTGATTTAAAAACAGCTCATAAAATATACATAACATAAAGTTGACCATTTTAGCAATTTTAAATATTCAGCTTAGTACATTCATATTGTTGTGTAACTATCACTACCATCTCCAGAACTTTTTCAGCTTCCCAAAATGAATCATAGTATTCATTAAACAACAATTCCGCATTCATTTCTCCTCCTAGCCCTTGGCAAACATCTTTCTACTTTCTGTCTCTACTCCAGGTGTTTCATATAAAGTGGAATCATACAGTGGTTGTCCTTCTGTGACTGTCTCCCTTACTGACATTTTTTCCAATTTAAAACATTGTATTAAAATACATATAACATAACACTGACTATCTGAACCATTTTTAAGTGTACAGTTCAGTGATATTAAGTACATTTATACTGTTGTGCAACTATCACCACAAACCATCTCGAAAACTTTTTCAATCTTGCAAAACTGAAACTCTATACTCATTAAACAGTAACTCCCCATTCCCCCTCCCACCTCACATTCCCTGGCAACCACCATTCATGTAGTATTTTGTGTGTGTGTGTGTGTGTGTGTGTGTGTGTGTGTGACTGGCTTATTTCACTTGGCATAATGTCTTCAAGGTTCATCCATGTTGTAGCCAATATCAGTATTTCCTTCCTTTTTAAGAATAATATTTTATTATGTGTATAAACCAGCTTTTGCATATCCATTCGGCATCAATAGACACTTGGGCTGCTTCTGCATTTCAGCTATTGTGAATAACAGTAGTATGAATATGGGGGTACGAATATCGCTTCAAGACCCTTTTTTCAATTTCTGTAAGTATATGCCAATAAATAGAATTATTAGAGTACATGGTAAAACCCTCCAAAAAATCAATGAATCCAGGAGTTGGTTTTTTGAAAAGATCAACAAAATTGACAGACCACTAGCAAGACTAATAAAGAAGAAAAGAGAGAAGAATCAAATCGACGCAATTAAAAATGATAAAGGGGATATCACCACCGACTCCACAGAAATACAAACTACCATCAGAGAATACTATAAACACCTCTACGCAAATAAACTGGAAAATCTAGAAGAAATGGATAATTTCCTGGACACTTACACTCTTCCAAGACTAAACCAGGAAGAAGTTGAATCCCTGAATAGACCAATAGCAGGCTCTGAAATTGAGGCAATAATTAATAGCCTACCAACCAAAAAAAGTCCAGGACCAGACAGATTCACAGCCGAATTCTAGCAGAGGTACAAAGAGGAGCTGGTACCAATCCTTCTGAAACTATTCCAATCAATACAAAAAGAGAGAATCCTCCCTAATTCATTTTATGAGGCCAGTATCATCCTGATACCAAAGTCTGGCAGAGACACAACAAAAGAAGAGAATTTTAGATCAGTATCCCTGATGAACATCAATGCGAAAATCCTCAATAAAATACTGACACACTGAATCCAACGGTGCATCAAATGGTATTGCTTAGGTTTTCTACCACAATTAAGTCAGCTTCATCCCTGGGATGCAAGGCTGGTTCAATATACGCAAAGCAATAGACATAATCCATCACATAAACAGAACAATGACAAAAACTACATGATTATCTCAATAGATGCAGAAAAGGCCTTCGACAAAATACAACAGCCCTTCATGCTAAAAACTCTCAATGAACTAGGTATTGATGGAATGTATCTCAAAATAATAAGAGCTATTTATGACAAACCCAAAGCCAGTATCATACTGAATGGGCAAAAATTGAAGCATTCCCTTTGAAAACTGGCACAAGACAAGGATGCCCTCTCTTACCACTCCTTCAACACAGTGTTGGAAGTTCTGGCCAGGGCAATCAGGCAAGAGAAAGAAATAAAGGGTATTCAATTAGGAGAAGAGGAAGTCAAACTGTCCCTGTTTGCAGATGACATGATTATACATTTAGAAAACCCCATCATCTCAGCCCAAAATCTCCTTAAGCTGATAAGCAACTTCAGCAAAGTCTCAGGATACAAAATCAATTGCAAACATCACAAGCATTCCTATATACCAATAACAGACAAACAGAGAGCAAAATCATGAGTGAACTCCCATTCACAAGTGCTACAAAGAGAATAAAATACTTAGGAATCCAACTTACAAGGGATATGAAGGTCCTCTTCAATGAGAACTACAAACCACTGCTCAACAAAATAAAAGAGGACACAAACAAATGGAAGAACATTCCATGCTCATGGTTAAGAAGAATCAATATTGTGAAAATGGCCATACTGCCCATGGTAATTTATAGATTCAATGCCATCCTCATCAAGCTACCAGTGACATTCTTCACAGAATTGGAAAAAACTACTTTAAAGTTCATATGGAACCAAAAAAGAGCCTACATTGCCAAGACAATCCTAAGCCAAAAGAACAAAGCTGGAGGCATCATCATGTACTTGGCTTCAAACTATACTACAAGGCTACAGTAACCAAAACAGCATGGTACTGGTACCAAAACTGATATATACATCAATGGAACAGAACAGAGGCCTCAGAAGTAATACCACACAGCTACAACCATCTGATCTTTAACAAACCTGACAAAAACAAGAAATGGGGAAAGGATTCCCTATTTAATAAATGGTCCTGGGAAAACTGACTAGCCATATGTAGAAAGCTGAAACTGGATCCCTTCCTTACACTTTATACAAAAGTTAATTCAAGATGGATTAAAGACTTAAATGTTAGACCTAAAACCATAAAAACCCTAGAAGAAAACCTAAGCAATACCATTCAGGACGTAGGCATGGGCAAGGACTTCACGACTAAAACACAAAAAGCGATGGCAACAAAAGCCAAAATAGACAAATGGGATCTAATTAAACTAAAGAGGTTCTGCACAGCAAAAGAAATGACCATCAGAGTGAACAGGCAACCTACAGAATGGGAGAAAATTTTTGTAATCTACCCATCTGACAAAGGGCTAATATCCAGAATCCACAAAGAACATAAACAAATTTACAAAACAAACAAACAAACAACCCCATCAAAAAGTGGGCAAAAGATATGAACAGAAACTTCTCAAAAGAAGACATTCATGCAGCCAACAGACACATGAAAAAATGCTCATCATCACTGGTCATCAGAGAAATGCAAATCAAAATCACAATGAGATACCATCTCACACCAGTTAGAATGGCGATCATTAAAAAGTCAGGAAACAACAGGTGCTGGAGAGGATGTGGAGAAATAGGAATGCTTTTACACTGTGGATGGGAGTGTAAACTAGTTCAACCACTGTGGAAGACAGTGTGGCGATTCCTCAAGGATCTAGAACTAGAAATACCATTTGACCCAGTCATCCCATTACTGGGTATATACCCAAAGGATTATAAATCATGCTACTAGAAAGACACATGCACACGTATGTTTATTGCAGCACTATTCACAATAGCAGAGACTTGGAACCAACCCAAATGTCCATCAATGATAGACTAGATTAAGAAAATGTGGCACATATACACCATGGAATACTATGCAGCCATAAAAAAGGATGAGTTAACGTCCTTTGCAGAGACATGGATGAGGCTGGAAACCATCATTCTGAGCAAACTATCACAAGGACAGAAAACCAAACACTGCATGTTTTCACTCACAGTTGGGAACTGAACAATAAGAACACTTGGACACAGGGCAGGGAACATCATACCCCGGGGCCTGTTGTGGGGTAGGGGGCAGGGGGAGGGATAGCATTAGGAGAAATACCTAATGCAAATGACAAGTTAATGGGTGCAGCACACCAACATGGCACATGTATACCTATGTAACAAATCTGCATGTTGTGCACATGTACCCTAGAACTTAAAAGTATACTTAAAAAAAAAAATTCTTAAGGTTGTGGGCTTCCAAAGGAAAGTGGGCTGTGCAGGAAGCAGCTTCTGCCTATCTGGTGAGTTCCTGAAAGTAAGGAAGTGAAGAGACAGATATAGGGAAGTGGAGCCCTGGTAGAGAAGGAAAGAAACACACATTCCACCGGACACTGCTGAAAAGGCATTTCTGATCCGTTCCAGGATCCACCCCATGCCCAGGACTCCTAGGGAAGTGTGCAGACTAAACATTGACGTAAAAACACCCAGAGCACATATGTTTATTCAGAAAAAGGCAAATGGTGGTGGTTGTGAGATGGGCAGGTTGCGGCCCTATTGTGCAATTTTTGATATTTTGATATATGTGTAATACAGTTTTTCCCACTAATAAAATCTATTAACAGAACCCTGTGGCAAGAGTATTTCTCAAGTTTCCCTTAGTATTGAGAAATTAGCACGTACTACCTGAAAATACTCCCGGAACCTAATTATCCAGGGGAATTTATGATATAGTACATGAATTCTATGCCATATTACACGTAATTACATGGTGACACTGTCTTATAGTAGTGGCAGAGCAGTTTACAGTTCATAAAGCGCTCTCATGTGTATTGTTTCATTCACTTTTCACAACACTCCCCACTCTCCCCTAGATGTTCTGGGCTCCGCTGTCCCTCATGCAAGCCTCCAGATACGACCCTGCAGCATCAAGGACAGCTCAACTCTACTTTCCTGGGCACCCGACACCTCCATTAGCAGACCTGATACCAAAGGGTTTTTCTTTAAATAAACACATCACCAGGTTGGGTCATGCAATCACTGTCTTCTTCTCCAGTGAGGAATCAGGAACTCAGGAAGATCAAGAGACTTCACTGGCAGCCTGGATGTGCTCCCAGTAGATACATTCCACATCACAGCCCACAGTGTGGTCCTTCCCTTCCTCCACAGCTGCACAGAAGAAATTTTACCTGAGAGTTCATCAGGCGAATGGTAGTTTTTGTGCCCACATCTTGCTGGAAGTTGGCTGTGGGTGCCCCATTGAACCTCAGGACTGCGTCATGATCATCTGTAAACCACAAAGAAACAGGAAAGAGGTGATGAGCACTGGCAATATGCAGAAAAAGAGAAAGGTAAGGGGAGGGGGCAAGGGAATAACGCTTCCGAATCTACCGCATCCTGATCCACAGGGCGAAATGGCAGTATTTGTGTGGTGCTCAGGTAAAGCTCCTAGGCAGAGATGACTACCTGTCTGCCAGCCACTGTAAGGGCTGAAGGGGTCCTTACTGTGGCATTCCTGAAGCCCATTCAAAGACACTCACTTGTGCCTGGGCACAGCAGAAAAGTGAACAAAGCCAGTGTGCTACTTACAGTGGAATAGCTACTCCAGTTATCAAAGCAACAAACCAAATATCCTCTTGGTATCACCAGTAGATTATATTCCTATATCTGTCAGAAAAATGAAAACACTACCATAGGTTCAGTGTATCCCACAAGTGCAAAGGACCCCATTGCACTCTGAAAAGCATGCAGTGCTCAGCGAACGGATGGGATTTAACTATGGTATCCAAGACAACCCCCAGGTGTTCCATTTAGGAACCTGCGGCCCAGGGAAGAGTCACAGACCTGGTGTGGCAGAAATGGAAGAGGATGTCACAGGTCTAAACTAACTTCCTTCCTTCCTTCCTTTTGTTCCTTTCTTCTTTTCTTCCCTTCCTTTCTTTTTCTTTCCTTTTCCTTTCTTTCTTTCCTCTTTCTTTCCCTTCCTTCCTTCCTTCCTTTTCTCCCTTTCTTCCTTTCTTTTCTTCCCTTCCTTTCTTCCTTTCTTTTTCTTTCCTTTTCCTTTCTTTCCTCTTTCTTTTTCTCTTTCTTTCTTTCTTTCTTTTCTTTCTTCCTTCCTTCCTTTCTTCCTTTCTTTCTTTCATTCATTCTTTCTTTCTTTTTCTTTTTCCTTTTCTTTCTTTCTTTCCCCTCTCTCTCTTTCTTTGCCATTGTCAGAAACAATGTACTAAATCCAGTCAAAATCAAACAGACCATCTTGAAAAACCTAAGCTTCCTGGGCTAGCTCCTTGTCTTTGCACCCGTTTAAGCAGTGTTTGGAAGACTAGGAAAAGTTTTTCTACCCAACGTTGACCAATCTGGTGGAGGAGGGAAGACTTTAAAGAGCCATCCCAACCCTGTGATCCTATGAGAGCTTTTTCCAATCTTACTTGGTCAAGCAAGTTTGGGGCTCACCACTGAAATCTGTACTGCAGCTGGAGGTCAGCTGCATCCTCTATTGTTCTATTCAGGTTTGTTTTGGGTCATCCTTCATCCACACAGGATCTGGGGAAGTGAGGGCATTTGACTGAATACAAGATGATTTAGAAAGAGGATATCCACAGAATTAAGGATGAAAGCCTCTCTCTCTCAGTTCCAATGTATATACTAAACCCTAGGAACACAGAAACCTCATTCATGAAAACACAACCCTATCCTCAATCCCAGGGCAAAATTTCATCAAAATGGTTTGAAAATTACCTGAGAAGGGCACAGTCCCAACTGTTATCATCTTACAGGGCAGGTACACTGAAGTGCACATAGGGCAGGAGGTATATCTTTACACAACTCAGAATTATAACCCATTTTGTCATAATCAGTCACTGCTTCGAAAGAAATTAGTAGTAATTGCATGAGAAACACAGATCCATCAGAAACTTTAGTCAACTTTCCCATTTCACAGATGAATAAATTATTGGTGAGAATCGCAGTGGAAAAGAGATGAGAAGTTCCAACAGAGTAATTGAGAGATTCATAAAAGGACTACTTACCAAGTTGGGGTAGAGTTTGAAGAAATCAACATGGAATAGGCTAAAGCCCCAGGGTTGATGACTGCTTGGAGTCATTACTACCCCAGGTCTACTGTGGCCTGATGAGCACAGATCCTGAGCTGAGGAGGGACACCTATCGGGAGCTGTTGCCTTTAGGAGAGGAACACAGCTATTGCCAACCTCCAACCAGCAAGAAGGGGTCTCGGGGAGTCAATATCCCAACCTGGCTCTGCTCCTTCCCTTGGATCTCACAGACCTGAAGGGAAAAGGCAGAGAGCAGGACCAAGACGGGAGGGCCTCCTGGCAGGATCTGACACCTTCAGTCAAGAAAAAGACTCAGCTTGAGTTTACTCTGCAAGGCGAAACATGGCCAAATAGGTGCCCTGACCTTAGTCTTCTTCTCAGCTTAATGCCAATGCTTCTCCTGGCCAGTCCCAAAGAAAATCCAGAGAGTGAATAATGCCAATTAGCACAGTTCAAAATTTTAATTTCTGTGCCGGGCGCGGTAGCTCACGCCTGTAATCCCAGCACTTTGGGAGGCCGAGGCAGGTGGATCACCTGAAGTCAAGAGTTCAAGACCAGCCTGACCAACATGGTGAAACCCCGTCTCTACTAAAAATACAAAAATTAGCTGGGCGTGGTGGTGTGCGCCTGTAATCCCAGATTCTCAGGAGGCTGAGGCAGGAGAATCGGTTGAACCCAGGAGGTGGAGCTTGCAGTGAGCCGAGATTGTGCCACTGCACTCCAGCCTGGATGACAGAATGAGACTATTCTCAAAAAAAAAAAAAAAAAAAAAAAAAAAAAAATTTCAATTTCTCAGGGACAGAGCCAGATGGAAAAGGGTGAGAGTGGGATTTGGAGGTGCAGCTGGAGAACATCCCGCACAGAAGGCTTAGGTTAGAGCGGATGCTTGATGTTGACCATAAGAAAGGAGAATTGTTTTGCTCACTCAACAAATACTGATTGAGCACCTACTCTATGCCAGGCACAGTTTTAGACACGGGAGACGACGGCTGTGAGCAACAAAGACAAGGTCCATGCCATCAGAGATATGACATTCTACTGCACGGAGATAGACAATAAAGACACACGACAACCTACATATAAGATAATTTCAGATTGTGACGAATACTGTGACACCAACAAGCTGAGCTGTGTGCCAGAGACACTGAGGGAATTTCCTTCATAGAGTGATGATTCAGGGAATGCCTTGGAGGTGAGACCCAAAGGATGGCCAGGCATGGGAAGGGTTCAGAGAAGTCCACAGCCAGAGGATGTAGCAAGTGTCAGGACCACAGTGAGGGGAGGAACTTGACTGTAGACAAGGAGTTAGGGGAAAAAAAATCAAAGATGCAGTTACAGAGGTTGGCAGGAACCAGATCGTACAGGGACATGGGGGCCCAGGTATGAAGTTTGGACATGATTCTAAGAAAAAAGCCAATCAGGCCGGGCGCGGTGGCTCACACCTGTAATCCCGGCACTTTGGGTGGCCGAGGCAGGCGGATCACCTGAGGTCAGGAGTTCAAGACCAGGGTTTGCTGACCCCTGATATAACTGATCATGTTCTCCAAACTACTCAGTTCACAGGTGTCTTCTCAGTCCTTATTCTGCCCAAGAATATATCCCACCTCTGCAGACTTTGATACCAACAGCCAACATCCCTCAAACTATATCCCCCTTTGCCTTCCATTGTATGGTGCACACCTAGTTCTCCTCTAGCCGGTCTCTGACCCTTCTGACTTTTCCTGCTTATCCCTGTTCTTTTATTTGTCCTTTAAATGTAAACCTTTTCCTAGGTTTTCTAATTGGTCGTCTTCCCTGTCTTATAACCATTATCTCACCTTGATACAAATGACTTCTAAATCTGTCTCGACATCTGACCCTTCTCTAGAATTAAATACTCAATAGCATAGATATTTACCCAGCGCAATCCACACACACTTCAGTCTCAGAACATCCAAAGCGGAATGTGCGTTCCTCTGGAAGCCTGCTCGCCCTGGTAAGATACAGCCTGCTCCCAGGCGAGACATCCTGGCTCCTGCCTCTCACTCAAGATCATTTCCAGCTAGATAGTAAGTTCTGCCTCTTACTTCATGAAGCCTCTCAAGTAAGGTCCTTTCTCTCCATCACGGCTACCACAGCCCGGGCAGGCCTGGCACTTCTGACCTGGATGTGGCAATAGTGCCTGATAATGGAGATATTATACAGTACAAAACAGGGACTCATAGAGTATAAGTGAGAAATCTCCCTTGTTCAAAAACCTTCTAGGGCTCTCCATGGCTTAAAGAAGGAAACCTAAAGTCCTTATTGTGACTGTCAACATTCTCTAAGAGCTAATGCCTAGCTACCTTTCTGGCCTCGTTCCTCACCCATCTTCACCCACAAGGCCCCACATGCCATCCAAACAGGATTATTTGTGATGCCCAAACACACAGGGCACTTTTCCCCATGCAGCCTTTGCCTTGACTCAGAATATCCTTCTCTTCTTCTCTAGGACAGCTAATAGACAGGAATATAAGAAATGTTTTAACATAACAAAAGAATAATCACACCACATTTTATTACGAAGCTACAATTATTACGAGGCACAACAGCAGAGGCGCTAAGAGTGGGGTCTTTGAAGCAAGCACTCTGCTTTCAAACCCCAGTCTGCTATTAGCCAGTGGTGTAACCACTTGAGCCTCCGCATTTAGCTCTGCAGCAAAATGAGACCAATTATCTTATCAACCTCACAGGACCTCTGGGAGGATGAAAAGAGCAAGGCATGTTATGCACAGCAGATGCATAATAAGCATCAGTTGTATTAATGATAGTGTTTTAAAACTATGCTACTGTTTAACACGAAAATTCCAGCACATCTAAGATACTTAACATGTATGAGTAAACTATCAAAACTAACTGAAAATGACTGAGCCCACCATTGGCTGGTTTGTGAGATTGCTGGAGGCAGAGTATGTTATTACACTCTCTCTGATAGAAAATCTTGCTATGGACAAAAAAAAAAAAATCATAAAATGTCTCTTACTCGTGTCTTCTAGCCTCACTTCGGAGGATATTTCCCTGTTGAATGTCAACAGTGGTCACCTAAGTTATCTGCACAAAAACCTTGCTTGTCAGCAATGTTATTTGTAAAAGAAAACCATTTGAAATAATCTGATCCATTCAATAGTTGGGAAGAGACTCAACAAATTCCAGATGCAGGAGGAAGTGTATGGGCCTGGCACGCTGCCTGCAACTCAGGCTTCAACAAAGGGCCTTTCCTTTCCCCTTCCCCTTCCCCTTTGCATTGTTGATGAATCCATGAATAAGTAAAAGAATACATGAATGAATGTCTTAAAATATTTGTTAGACAAAATGCCAAGAAGATATATACCCTATAACAGCAGAACATTCGAAGTCTAACATGTAACTTTTATTACATCTCAGAATCAAAGTCCTTCTGTGGAAATCCTTATTACGAAGTTGAAACTGCAGTCTATAGAAAAATATTATTTTTATTATTAATGTTTATTTAAACCACTCTAAACCTTTAAGGAGTGCATAAAATTAAAGCTGTAGTTCCAATTCACAGAGGTATCAGGCCCTGTCTTAAACTTCAGTATAATTTCAGCCAGGCACGCAATGTTAACTTTGACATGAAGAACAAGGATCAGCTAATACCTAGGATATCCCAAACATAAGCAGCAAAAATGGAGAAGAAAGAAAGAAACTTCGCTCCATTATGGATGAGCAAAAACCAATCACATTTAGTTTCTTGAAAACAAAGTCCAAGAAAAAACAAAAGTATAGAAGCAAAAGTTGAGGTGGGGCTGGCCAGCAGGGCAGCTGCCTATTTGGGGAGGTAGAAACTGTGATCTCACCATTTATTTCTGCTCTAGAGAATCCAATTTGGGCCTACTTTTCTTCTTTGAGAGCCTGTTCTGGGTTTCAGACCATTTTTCCTGGCAATCCAATGAAGGAAATAAAAAAGGAGACGTATGACCTCACCTGCTCCAGTACCTCCAGGCTGACAGGGGAGCACAGCTTCCTGTGCTTTGCTTTCTTTAGCTGATTCATTTCAAATAATGGAAAACACATTCAGCATAAGAGAAATAAGGCTCTCTGTTACACAGGTTTACAAATATAGAGAGACTTTCTATCTTGATTCACTACAAAGGAGTTTCAAGAAAAGCAAATTAATATATTGTGACCAGTGACTCAAACCTTTTTGGGTCACAGATCCCTTAGAGAATAAACTGCAATCTACAAGCTCCCTTCCTGGAAAAATGCACAGACACACATACACATACATATACACATACACATACACACATACATACACATACACATACACATATACATACATACGCATGTACACACACATACATATACATGCATACACATGTACATACACATATACATACATATACATACATATACATACACATGTACATATACATACACATATATATACACATATACATATATACACATGTACATACACATACACATATACATACATATACATACACATACATACACATGTACATATACATACACATATACATACATATACCTACATGTACATACACATACATACATACACATGTACATATACACACACATACACATACACACACACACATTATACACACCTAATCCACAGATATTTTTACGTGCAATCGCAGGGATTTATGACCCTCTGAAGTTGGTCTATAGCCCCCAGTTAAGACTTGCTGACCCAATTAAATCTTTTCAAAGAGAAAAGCTGAAAATTACCCAGGTTGTTGAGGCCAATAGAGTCCTCCATTAATCAGATAAAACAACAGAATTTCAGACCCCGGAAATGATGTAGAGATCTATGCTTCAAGTCTTTTCAAAGGTCAATTGTAGGCTTTTGATTATTAGTAGCAGCGGAACTCTCTTTTCAAATGAAATCTTCTGCACAATTCCAATATTTAAAACAGAACAAAATAAAACTATTCTGTTCCCAACACAAAGAAGCAATAAACGTTCAAGGTGGTAGATATTCTAATTACCTTGATTGGATCATTACACATCATTATACATGAGTACATGTATCAAAATATCCCCATAAATATATAATTATTATATATCAACTAAAAATATTAGGAAACAATAATGAAGCTCTTCGAATTGATAAAGATGCCGGGGACCTAGAGTGCCATCTGTTCAACTCCCTCTGTGTCACTTGTGACTCCGAAAAAAACACTGCCCTGGGCTCACTCCACCGGTTCACTGAGCCACACTTGGGCCACTTGTCTCCCATACCATTAATATGCCCAGCCAGTCCCAATAAGCACTGCCATTCACAGAACAAGCCCAGAACATACCGATTTCTCTGCCTAGTTGGGAGGACTTCAGAGATCCCGCTGATGACACAACAGCACACCTGCCCCAAGTCCCAGCCTTGGTCCTAATATTGTCCTTGGGCAGATAACCCTCCCATTCAGAGGTATTGAAGGGAAAATCTGTGGCCTCTACCATGGATACATTCACGTGGTCCCGGAGGTGGCAGCGCAGGGCCTCTGCACTAAACTTGATGCCTGGTCCTGGCCCCTTGTAGGACACTTTGTACTTGTTCATGCTTAGGTAATTCTTCCAGATCTTTTGCAGCCTAGGGATAAGGTTTTTGGAAGAGCTGTCCTTGTTCCACACCTGGAAGAAGGCCTCTGGTTTGGCCTTGGGTATGTCTCTGAGACTGCCGAGGGCCTGGCGGCCCCTGTGGGGGTCCTGGGTGTTGCTTGAGGATACAGACTGGGAATCAGACCCCATGGCCAATTTCCCCAGACTCTTCAACACCTGGAATTCCTTGGTTTGCAATTTAAAGGAATCATAGTAACTCCCTTTCTTCTTTTCCTTCCACACACAGATGACTGCAAACAGAAGAAAGATCAGGACACAGCAGCTGAACTTCTTCTTCAAGTTGGTGTGAATCATAATGAAGATGTGTTCAGGGAAGCCACTTTGTTCTGAGCAGGAAAACAAGCCTAAAAAAAGTGAGACAAAGAAAAAACAAATGATGTGAAGAAAAACCCAATGTGGCATGAGGTGGAGCGATGGACTGATCAATAGATTTCAAGTGAGGTGACTTGAATTCCAGCCCTGGTCTACCTCCTAGCCACCTCTGCAGCCTGTTAAGTAATTCTTGACAAAAGTCAGCCTCAATTTGGACTTTGTACGTGGACAGTAGTCCCTCGGACACTCCCCTCTTCCTCTTGAGCCATGAACACTTTATTATATGTCCTCCCATCATTACTTTTTCTATGCTGAACATTAGTTTCTGATTGCCTTGGTCTACCTCCCTGACTGCACTCTGAGTTTCTTGAAGTCAGAAACCACACCTTGCAAATCATTCGGTTCCTAGGGCCTTGCAACATGTGTTAAATGAAGCCACGCAGCTTGAAACAAAACAAAACAAAACAAAACAGAATAAAAAAGAGCAGGCTGACTGTTTTACATCACCAAACCTAAACTTTCTAAAATAGTAAGTGGCCAAAACACCTTCAAAATAGCCAGAAAAAGACTTCTCGTTATAGGTGATGCCATAGATTTGTGATGCATCTCTCTAAGGGCTGCGATGTTGGACTCCTGCAGGAGAAGATCAGGGGTTATCTCCACCACATACCTGCAAGAAGTACCCTGCAAGAAGAGCACTACGGAGACAGGAAGCTGACTCACCTCATGATAGAGGCTAGGAAATCTAGGTAAGATAGCAGACATGCAGCCAACTAAGGAAATGGAAACAAAAATTCATTAAGCATGCTAGATGTTACTTCACCTAACTTCGCCATAACCAGGGCCACCATGAGACACAACTCTGGGGGCACCAAGCATAGCATAATCTAATACAAAGGGCATCTCCTAACCTAAAGGTGTTATCATCTCCATTTTATGGATTAGCAACCTGAGGCTCTGAGAAGTCAAGGGAAGTGTCCAAGCTCACAGAGCTGAGGAAATGGTCGCACTGAGGTTCAAATCCAAGCGGACTTGATTCCATAACCCATGACCTTTCCACTACAACATGCACAGAACTGCAAAAAGCTCTGGAAAATAGATTTCACTGAGCAAATAGAGACTGAATTGTCCTCTTTCTTTCTGGGTAAACACCTACTTTGTTTTCTCAGAATTTATTGTGTAACTGAATGGAAACTGGAAGTACTTTGAACTCAAATAATGTCTGTATCTTTTGGAAAACATTACATTCTTTCCCCATTCACTGGGTTTATTTACAATAGTGAATCAAAGCAATCACCTCCGGGGTTTTGCTAACCCACTAGGGGTCTGAGGTCCTTTCCCATGGATCCTGCTCCTACGGATATCAGGAAAAGGTAGTAGTAGTACTGGACTGGGTGTTCACAAAACCTGGGTTCTTATCCCCATTCTTGGTGACCTTGGACAGGTCACTTAATATTTCTGCTCCTGAGTTTTTTAGAATAATTCTCTCTGCCCTATGTGATTTACAGAGTGTCGGGAGGACAAAACAAGAGGATGGTATTCATTGGATTTGAACAAGGTAAGCAAAAAAGCACAGGAGGTATTCTGAACAGAGACAGGAGAGCAGCAGTTCAGCCTGGGGACCATGTGGAGGTGATGGGGGATAGTGAAGACGGTGGTGTGAAGCCGCAGCCATAACTCGGCAGCCCCGAGCTCCAGGCTCTTCCCTGGGAACTCCTTCATGAACTGACATCCAGCTCATTCCTGGAATCCACTGGCAGTACCAACCAAAGCAGTGCTTCCACCATCCCAGACCTCAGGAACCAGTGGCTCTGGGAATGATGGGTTCCTATCCTGGACTGCTGAAGTTGTGGAAATGATTAAATGTACACAGCAGAAGAAGAATTCAGATATAAGATCATGAAGTGGAGGGTGGAAGCTCGTATTACCAGAAACTGAGGAATTCAATTTCCACAGATACCCAACACAGATAATCACATGACCATATGACAGCTGAAGAAGAACCAGAGAAAACAAGGCAAGTAGCATTTAAGGAGGGCCTACTACATGAGAGTCACTTTCCTTGCAATATCTCATTGAACCTTTACCACAACACTATGATACAGTTATTGACAACCCTATTTTAGGAAATGAAAAAAACTGAGGCTTAGCAAGGTTCTCGGGTCTCTCCAATGTCAACAGCAAATCAGTTCTAGAACCAGAATTCCAGCCCAGGTCTATCTGACTCTAAAAGTTCATCATCTTTCCACCCAAGGACATGCATCTGTGATAAGGGGCAGTGAGAAGTCAGTGTGATCAAGTCGGACTCAAGGTCACTAGAGAGGAAACTTGATCTGTCAGACAGTGGCAGACAAGCCACCTTCACCATCAGTGCTGCACCTGCCATCCCTGCTGTGCACTGTGTTACCACTTAGGGGGACTTTCCATATTAGTAAGGTTTTACAGACTTACTCTAGGCAGCAGATTTTATGAGCTCTATTTATAGCTGAGTATTGTGAGGTTTGGAAATACAAGGAACTTTCAAAGTTGCAAGAGTGATTTGGCAATAGTGGACTTGGAACTTGCCTTTGACATGTCTGAATGAAACAAGATGGCAGGAAGGGCCTGATTCACTGTCACAGGAGTGGAGGCTCAGGGAGCGGCTGCCCACTACCTACTCTCCAAGGTGTGGTTTCCCAGGAAAGAAGAGTTCCTGCAAATAGCTGGGTCCAACGACAGGCTTGCAACCATCAGATGGCCTCAGCCTTCACAGCCTGTGCCCTGTCATGGCCTCAGGACACTCATCTGAAATCCCACATCAGGGCTCTTGTGGTCCCTTGACACCACCCTTGGTTGAGGCTCCAAGTCCACCAGGTGGCTGGAGTTTCTGGTCACAAGCACTTATAACTGCAAGAACCTCTCTCATCTCTCAAGTTGTTTGAAGAAGGCAGAGTCTGAAGAAGCTTTCACTGAATGGCGCAACTGAAGGAAAAGAGTAGCAAACTTTTCTCTATAAATGTTCTGGAAAAACAGACCAAGCTTTGAATTTTCCAATCACACCAGACTGTGTTCTTAAGCATCCAGGTGTCTGCACTGACTGCACCCTTTCTCCTTGTCCATGTGCTTGCCAGCTCTGACGGCATCACCTTTCTGTTTCTGAAGGTCAGTGGAGGCCACCTCCCCTTCCGCACTAGCCTTGTTCCCCTTTGCTGCCAGCCAGGGCTCTGTAATGCTTGCTTCTTTACGTGCCTGACTTTGCTGCTAAAGGAAAACTCCTCCCGGCATCCTTTCTGAAACCCTAGTACCCAGCACAGTGCCTGCGCCAGAGCAGATACTCAAAGATTACTGAACTGATGCAATTGTATCAGAGTCTTTACGATCATCATGAGGCTCCTAGAGGAAGAAGACAGCAACTTGCATTACCACCTTCAAAGAACCGGCCAACACTGAACCAGCAGAAATCAATGCTCAAAGCAAGGAAATCCTGTCCCGACCCACCCATCACGACATACTCAATACCAGTTGCATTTGTGGCACGTAGTAGGAACTCAGAACAGTCGACTGAAATACAGAGTAACTTAAATCTTACAGTTATAGTTAATAGAAATGCACAAGCCATTTCTCTACACCCCACAACCAAACCCAAATTGAATCAGCAGTTAAAGAGGACTAAAAAATGTATACAGAAAGAAAACAGCAAAGCTGTAGCCAGATACTGAAATCCTGAGATTCCCTGTCAGCACATCTGCCACACCAGCTTTTACTCAGGAACGTACCCCTTTGCTAGCCCATGCCTCTGTGTGTTCCTTACCTGCTTCTGGTTAATCCCCCAGGGGCTGCAGGCCCTTCAGGTCCTCAGGAATTAGCACTATTCTCCATGGGAGGGAAGATTTATTGGGTCTGGAGGCCAAGGCCCATTTTTCTCAGGATGATCAAAACTCATCTGCAAAGGCAAAAAACAAGAGAGAGAAAGAGAGGAGGTGAGCGCTGTTTTCCAGCAGAGGCAGGGTTAAACATTAACAAGATGGAAAGGTGCCTCTGCAGAGTTAGGCTAGGTCTCAGCCCAGGAAACCTCCAGGACTCAGAAAAAAAAAGAGAGAAAAGCATATTAAAGGTGCAATGCTCTGGATCTGTGAACAGCACAGATAGCCTAGAAATAGACTTGACACCGGCCGGGTGCGGTGGCTCACGCCTGTAATCCCAGCACTTTGGGAGGCTGAGGCGGGCGGATCAGGATCATGAGGACAGGAGATCGAGACCATCTTGGCTAACATGGTGAAACCCCATCTCTATTAAAATACAAAAAAAACTGGCCAGGCATGATGGCGCCTACCTGTAGTCCCAGCTACAAGGGAGGCTGAAGCAGGAGAATTGCTTGAACCCGGGAGGTGGAGGGCAGTGAGCCGAGATCATGCCACTGCACTCCAACCTGAGCGACAGAGAGAGACTCTGTCTCAAAAGGAAAAAAAAAAAATGAAAGAAATAGACTTGACACCAGATAAGAATGGGCTAGAAAGCTAAAGCAGCCACCATGGACCAACCTGGGAAGAACAGATTGTTTAATCGCTGGTTTGGAGATAAATAAGAAGCAATTAGGTCCATCCTGAAATAAACTTCAGACAGATTTTCAAAAAAATATTTATTTTCAAAGAATATTTAATAATATATGAAAGTTCAGTCAGTATAATTGTACCAGAAAAAATAGGCTATAAAACTGTAAATACTATCCAAATTCAGAAAAAAAAAACAACACACACACACACTTAAAAAAATGTGGAAAAGTAGTAGAAAAAAGTACACCCAGAATGGTAAGAATAATAGATGTTTTCATTTTTTATCATTTTACATATATTCCAAAATTTCTAAAATGTACATTCATTATTCTTTGACTTTGAAAAAATGTACAGAAGTATAAAAATGTAACTTTAGAAAGCTAAAAACAAGCCAGCCGTGCATGCCTGTAGTCCCAGGTATTCAGGAGGCTGAGGAGGGAGGATCATTTGAGCCCAGGAGTTAGAGGCTGCAGTGAGCTATGAGCGCCACTGCACTCCAGCCTAGGTGACAGAGTGAGACCCTGTCTCTAAACAAAGCAACAAAAAACAGCTAAAAATATAATTATATACTTGTCAGCTCTTTCTTCTTTTGATGCAATGTAGGAAAGCAGCAAAGGAAAAGTTTAATACATTCAGTTGCAAGAAAATTTCAACATCTATACAATGAAAAATACTGTAACTACAATAAAAAGGAAAAGTCAAAATATAAAAAGGATTCATATAGTAAAAGTTTCCCAAAATAAAGAGGTAATCAACGTGAACAGACATATCACAAAATAAAAAGCACAGTTAACAAGCATATAAAGTTATGGTTAATCTTGAGAGAAACCCAAGAGGGGTAACTAGAATACTAAAAAACTAGTTTACAGAATTTACATGAGTCAGCAGTTTTCTACATAATACTCGTTGCTGGACAGATTATAATTAAACTGATATACATTCAAAGGATCATATAAATTAATTTAACCTTTCTAGAATGTATTCAGGCCATAGAATTAATAGCTCCTGGCTATGGACCACGCTACTGTACGTCTAGGAAGAAAGAGTGAATAAACAAATAATTCAAAAGTAAAAAAGATTATATACTTCAGTTTCCCCACACGTAAAATGATTCTCTACATTACATAGTTATGATGACAATTGAAAAAGGATTAATGAGATAAAGAATATGAGTTCTATAAAGCAATATGCATACAAAGAAGAAAAGGTTTTTTTTTTTTTTTAATAATTTTAACTTTTATGTTAGATTCAGGGGGTACATACGCAGGCTTGTTACCTGGGTATACTGCACAATGCTGAGGCTTGGGGTATGACTGATCCTGCCATGCAGGTACTGAATAATTAGTTTTAAAACTCTTTCCCCTGTCTCCCCCATCTTGTAGTGCCCAGTGTTTATTATTGCCATCTTTATGTCTATCAGTATTCATTGTTTAGCTCCCACTTATAAGTGAGAACATATGGTATTTGGTTTTCTGTTCCTGCATTATTAATTTGCTTAGGATAATGACTTCCAGTTGCATCCATGTTGCTGCAAAGGGCATGGCTCTGTTCTTTTTCATGGCTGTGCTGTATTCCATGGTATATATGTACCACATTTTCTTTATCCAATACACTACTGATGGGCACCTAGGGTGATTCCATTCTTTGCTATTCTGAATAGTGCTGCAATAAACACACAAGTGCATGTCTCTTTTTGGTAGAAACATTTATTTCCTTTTGGATATATATCCAGCAATGTGATTGCTGAGTTAAATGGTAGTTCTATTTTTAAGTTTTCTGAGAAATCTCCAAACTGTTTTTCATGGTGGCTGAACTAATTTACATTCTCAACAACAGTGTGTAGATGTTCCCCTTTCCCTGCAGCCTCCCTAGCATCTGGTGTTTTTTGACTTATTAATAGCCTTTCTGACTGATGTGAGATGGTATCTCACTGTGCTTCTGATTTGCATTTCTCTAATAATTAGTGATACTGAGCATTTTCCATATTTGTTGGCAGCTTATATGCATCTTTTGAGAATTGTCTGTTCCTGTCTTTTGCTCACTTTTTAATGTTGTTATTTGTTTTTTGCTTGTTCAATTGTTTGTTTCTTATAGAGATTCTGGATATTAGACCTTTGTTGGATGCATAGCTTGCAAATATTTTCTTCCATTCTGTAGGCTGTCTGTTTATTCTGTTGATAGTTTCTTTTGCTGCACAAAAGCTCTTCAGTTTAATTAGATCCCACTTGTCAATTTTTGTTTCTGTTGCAGTTGCTTTTAAGTACTTAGTCATAAATCCTTTCCCAAGGTTGATGTCCAGAATGGTGTTTCCTAGGTTTTCTTCTAGGATTCTTATAGTTCGAGGTCTCACATTTAAATCTTTAATTGATCTTAAGTTAATTTTTGTATATGGTATAAGGAAGGGATCTAGTTTCATTCTTCTGCATACAGCTAGCCAGTTATTCCAGCATCATTTATTGAATAGGGTGTTCTTTCCCTATTGCTTATTTTTGTTGACTGTGTTAAAGATCAGATGATTATAGGTATGTGGCTTTATTTCTGGGTTCACTATTCTGTTCCATTAGTCTATGTGTCTGTTTTTGTACCAGTACCATGCTGTTTTGGTTACTGCAGCCTTACGGTGTGGTTCTAAGTCAGGTACTGGAATACCTCTGAGTTTGTTCTTTTTGCTTACGATTGTTTTAGCTATTTGTACTCTTTCTTGGTTCCACATGAATTTTAGGATAGTTTTTTTCTAGTTCTGTGAAAAACGACATTGGTAGCTTAGTAGGAACAGTGTTGAATCTACAGATTGCTTAGGGCAGTGTGGCTGTTTTAATGATATTGATTCTTTCACTCCATGAACACGAAATGTTTTTCCATTAGTTTGTGTCATCCATAACTTCTTTCAGCAGAGTTTTGTAGTTCTCCTTGGAGAGATATTTCACTTCTTTGATTAGATGTATTCCTAGGTATTTAAAATTTTGTTGCAACTATTATAAATGGGATTGTGTTGTTGATTTGACTCTCAGCTTGAAAATTACTGGTTATGGAAATGCCATGGATTTTTATACACTGGTTTTTTATCCTGAAGCTTTGCTGAAGTTGTTTATTAGTTCCAGAAGCCTTTTGGCAGTGTCTTTACAGTTTTCTAGGTATAGAATCATATTGTCAGCAAGGAGAGACAGTTTGTGTTCTTTTCCTGTTTGGATGCCTTTTACTCCTTTCTCTTGTTCGATTGCTCTGGACAGCACTTCCAATACGATGCCGAATAGAAGTGGTGAGAGTGGGCATCCCTTGTTTCAGTTCTCAGGGAGAATGCTTCCAGTTTTTACCCATTCAGTATGATATTGACTGTGGGTGTGTTATAGATGATCCTTATTATTTTGAGGTATGTGCCTTTGATGCCTAGTTTCTTGAAGGCTCTTATAATGAAGGGATTTTGAATTTTATCAAAATCTTTTTCTGCATCTATTGAGATGATCATATGGCTTTTGTTTTTAATTCTGTTTATGAGGTGAATCACATTTATTAATGTGTCTATGTAGAACCAACCGTCCATCCCAGGAATGAAGCCTACTTGATCACAGTGAGATAACTTTTGATGTCCTGCTGGATTCGGTTTGCTAGTATTTTGTTGAGGATTTTCACATCTATTTTCATCAGGGATATGGGCCTGTGGTTTTCTTTTTTTACTGTGTCTTTGCCAGGTTTTGGTATCAGGGTAATGCTGGCTTCATAGAATGAGTTAGAAAGGGATCTGTCTGCCTCACTTTTTTGGAATAGTTTCAGGAGGACTGGTACCAGCTCTTTTTTGTACATCTGATGGAATGTGGCTATGAATTTATCTGGTCCAGGGCTGTTTTTGATTGGTAAGTTTTTTATTACTGACTCAATTTCAGAACTTGATATTGGTATGTTCAGGTTTCAATTTCTTCTTGATTCAATCTTGAAAGACTGTGCGTTTCCAGGAATGTTTCCATTTCTTCTAGATTTTCTACTTTGTGTGAACAGAGATATTAATGATAGTCTCCAAAGATCTTTCATATTTCTGTAAGATTAGTTGTAATGTCGTATTTGTCATTTCTGATTGTGATCATTTGTATCTTCTCTCTTTTCTTCTTTGTTAATCTAGCTAATAGTTTACCAAACTTGTTTATCCTTTCAAAGAACCACTTTTGGTTTTGTTGATTCTTTGTATGTATTTTTGAGTCTCAGTTTTGTTCAGTTTTGCTCTGATTTTAGTTATTTTTTTCTTTTTCTGCCAGCTTTGGGGTAAATATTTTTTCCAGTTCCTCTGGGTGCAATATTAGGTTGTTAATTTGAGATCTTTCTAACTTTTTGAAGTAAGTGTTAAGCACTATAAACTTTCCTAATAACACTGCCAAAAATAAAAATTTTTAATGTCAAA